TCCTGTCCACCGTGGGAAGCCGCCCCCTTGAGTGACGAGCGCCCAGTGGGCCCGCCACTCATTCAAGGGAGCCCCGTTTTGGAGAGGATCCACCGTCCGTTCTTCCAGCAGACAAGCGCAGCAGGGTAAAGAGGTCGTTTCGTTGAGGGTACCCTAATGTTGTTGATCGTGTTAGTTGGATGTTCTTGTGCATCCTGGGGAGGGTACCCTTGGATGTTCTGTGTGTTTTGGCCTGCGGAGGGTCTCATGTTCTTGGAGGATGTTATTATGTCCTAGGTCCGACTGCAGGTAGGCTGATGGAGTTCAAGACAGCGTCCAGCGATTGTGCTGTCTTGACAGGGGTCTGCCCTCCATACGTGCAACCGTTGCACAGTGTGGAGCGTCGGGTCGTAGGAGTTCGAAGAAATCTTAAGCGAGAGTCGCAGTCTGAAAATGGACCAGCCTCCGTCATTTTATCGGCTGGGAACTTTCCAGCGAATGTGCGCGGCGTTAAGGCGAAAGCAGCATTTTGGCAGCAACAACAACAACAGCAACTGGCTTTCCATCTTTGTGACTGTTGGAAGTGTTTCAGACGAGTGCGCGCGGCGCTAAGGCGAGAGCCGCGTTTTGAAGAAATGCTGGCCTCATCCCTTATTTCTAGCTGTTGGCAACTTTCAAACGACTTTGCGCGGCGCGAAGGCGAGAGCCGCATTTTGAAAACAACAGGCTTCCATCCTTGCCTCTGCTGGACGTGTTTCAGGGGAGCCGTATTTTGGAGACGTGCCAGCCTCCATTTCTGGAACTGCTGGAAACGTTTGCAACACATGTGCGCGACCAGTCCTTCACCATTTCAATGTTTGGAAATTTGAGTTTCAGGATTGTAAGTTGCACGGAGATCTCAGGCACGCCAGCCTACGGACACGTCTAGTGGTGGGACAGGCGGGGGCTGCTTTAAGGGAAGGATGGAGGAGGCCGGAGGGCCAGGGTCGCCAATAAGCCAGGCACGTGATTGAATACGACCCTTGGAGGCCAAGGGGGCTTCTTCCCCCTGACCCTTCCGATAGACAAGGTTGGTCCGTCGGCACACTTGCAAGCGCATTGTCGTATGAATTCTTCCTCTGTCTGACGGATTCGCCAGGTGGCTTGGGTGGCGTTGTCATCATCCTGGCGATGTTTCTTCTATGGAAAGCCCACATGTCGCCACACATGCGATGATATCTGTGTTTGCTTGCTCTTTTTATTCAAGCGAGCGCAAATGGCACGCCTTAGTGTGTATTTATTGTCACGCTAGGATAGTCCATTCACGTGAAGAGCATGCGGAATGTGGCTCTCGGCCATGATTGTAGGATGAAGCGCAAGTGCGAGCGCTGTTTGTTCTGCGACATCAGCATCCGTACGCCGAGCGCTCTATACAAACTCGGAGTATATCTAAAAGTCTAGACATGGATGGCCGTGATTTTCCCAGCGCTTCACGACTCTTGGCCAATTGCGCAGAGAACCAGTCCCTGACACCGAACGCAGGAGACAGGGTGCACAGCGATGTTCTACGGCAGGGGGGGAAGCGGCTGAAATGCACTCTTGGGCAGCTTGGATGATGAGATTGGCGGCCCCAGGATGTCGTGACTTCTGCCCCTGGCCGGATCCCTTAAGTCCTGTCGTGCAGGGGCCATCCGGTGGGGCTGTCCGACGGGCCGGAAGCTTCTTTTCTCTTGGGACCAGTTCCGGGCAGCCGAAAGGGTCCCTCGGCCTTGGCCTCGCAGAGCAAGTCTTTGTCTTGGCAAAGAGGGGAAGAAGGGGGCAGGACTTCCGTGGTAGGGGATCGATGCCAGGGGTCTGGAGATGGTCCGAGCCGCTCGTCTGCGAGAAGGTCTGCCGAGTCCAGGGAGCGCCCTGGAGGTTTTCAGTACCGAGCGGGTGGTTGTTGGCACACGCTGGCTGGGAATCGCGCTTGGGCCGCGCCAGTGGCCTCGAAGGGGGAGCACGTGCGGAGAAGCTGCCAGGCATGGCTGCCCGTCCTGGGATGTCGCTCAGAGCCCAGTCTTCTTGTGGCGTGCCCTGCAGACCTCCCTCTTGGACCCTCGTAACGTGCCCTTATTTTGTTCTGCCCCTGTCGCATCTGCCCCGCTTTCTATGGTCTTTTGCTGCTCGCTGTATTTGGAGTGCGGCCCTCCTTTGGCGTGGGGAGTTCCATTGGCGTAGGGACGCGTGACTTCGGGCACAGACTGTACAAGCGTGTTGCTTGACACGCGTGTCATTTGATTGGCAGTTGTTCTCTGCGCTTCGCCCTTTGAGCTCCACCATGGAAGATAGACTCACCTCGGTGATTGTGTGTGCGTGTGTGTGCGCGTGTGTGTGCGCGTGTGTGAATGTGTGAATGCGTGAATGTGTGAACGTGTGAATGTGTGAATGTGTGGATGTGTGAATATGTGAAAGTGTCTTTGTCTGTGTCTGTGCCTGTGCCTGTGCCTGTGTCTGTGTCTGTGTCTGTGTCTGTGTCTGTGTGTGTGTGTGTCTGAGCGCGTGTGTGGCATGCGGTCGCACACACGAGCGCAGTGCGAGAAGTTGGCCGCCAGTGGCGCCTCAGCAGGAGCCCAGTTGAAGCCAGCCTCGCTCTTGCCTTGCACTCGGCCTCCCTCGGCTTTCGCTGGGGGCTGCCTGCGCGTGCAGGTAAAACCTTCGAGGAGGGCTCCTTGGGCGACCGCCGACTGATGCTGGCTAGTTTTTACAAAGCCCTGGTCGGCCGCGCGCTCGCGCCCGCTCCCGCGCCGAGCCTTCCCCCTTCGGCTTCCTCTGGCTCGGGCCCGTGGCCCAACGAGAGGCTTTCTCTGGGGTAGCGTTTGGGCTAGACCACTCTTTGAAGGAGCCTGGGGCGATTATTCGGGGTATGCGTCGGCGGCACGAGATCATCGCTGATTACACCCATGAGTTCTCCGCGATGTTGTGTACATCCACGGAGCCGATCGCCCCCACCGTTTCCTTATCCACCTCGTCCGTCCCCCCCCCCCGCCGTTTAGGAGGGCGAGGTGGAGGACGGGAGGATGGATTGGTGATCGTAGTGAGGGCCTTCTAGAGGAGCCACCGGGTAAACGCAGTGTATTGTCCTGTGCAGGTCCTGCCATCGCAGGAGAAACCAGAGCCGAGCCCAAGTCTGTAAAATAGAGTCTGCCTCGGCAAGGGAGGATGCCGTCCGAGGGCCCAGATCAGGTTCAAAGTGTTTAGAGTGTTGATAACCCGCGGGCCACCCATGATAAACAATATGAGGATGAGGAGGGGAAAAGGAGGATGACATTCACTTGTGTGTGCGTTCTTACGCCTGCGTTCAATGAGTTTTCGCCTCAAAGGCAAGTTTGCCCGCCCACCTCCAACGACAAATGCGATCGGAGCTCCCCACGTGTTGGCGTTCGTTGGGTCGCTCGCTCGAGGGGGGCGAAGAACCAGAGGCGCGAGTACAGGGAAACGGTAGGATGATATCAGTGAGGTGTACACATGACATCCCCCCTGTCCCCTCGACGTTTTTGCTCCTCAGCTTTATCCCGCTCTGGACTCATTCATTCCTCGTCCACACGACTCATTTCTTTTCTTCGCTCGTCCTCGTTGTTATCATCGTCATTATCTTCCTCCTCACCCTCCATCTCGTACTTCATCGCCTCATTCACTCAGCAACTCGCTCTGGCCATCCTGCGTCCCTCCCTCTCCTCTCGTTCACTCATTCCTCTTTCCCGCTTGGTCCTCCCTTTTCTTCTCTCCTAAGGAAAATGAAAGAGACTAGGCCCCGTCCCCTCCAGCTCACTCTTCCTTGTCCGCACCATTCCCCCTCACCGTCAAGTTTCAAACCTGCTGTCAGAGTTTGGCTTGATGGTGCACACAGTGAAAAACGCACCATTCCCCCTCCTTCCGCCTCGCTTTGCTCTACTCGCTTCTCCTCCAACTTCTCTTCGACTCGCTCCGTCTCCCAGCCTTCTGGAATCCTCCCCTCATTCCTCTTGTCCTCATTGCTCACTCTTGCTTCCTTGCTCCGCCTCCCAGCTTTCTGGAATCCTCAATTTCCCGTCGCCCTCGACCGCTGACTTATCCTGGTTAATCCTGCCTCTGGTCCTCAAGTTCCTCCACCTCCGAAATCATTCACACTTCATCAGTGCACCTCACTTCTCCGCTTTACACGTCCTTCTCCTCCTCTTCCTTTCCCGATTCGTTGTCCTAGTCTTCCGTCTTCTCATCCTCCTCACCACTCCTCGCTTCTCATACGTATTTTGGTCATTTGTGTTCACCTCCTCATTCACTCAGTCACTCGCTCAGGCCATCCTGCCTCACCCCCCCTATCTCCCTCACTCTTTCCTCTGACCTGCCTCGTCCTCCCGGGTCACTCCTCCAGGGACCACCCCCAAAATTGGTTTGCATTGTTCTGGCAAACGACTCGTTGGTTGCTTGGTTGTTCTTAACGTTTGGTTTAAACGCGCTTGATGCATAATTGCGTGTGGTCGGCGTGCGTTTAGTTGTTTCGGCTTGATTGGCTGCGTTTCCAAGGTTGCACTTCGTTTGTCGGTTTGTTTGCCCCGTTCGCCCCATGTTCCGTTTCGTTTTGCGGGTTGGTTTGCGCAGTCGTTAGATGTGTGCCGAACCCCAGCATGTTGATTGTTGTAGTTCGTAATGTAGGCTGTTCGTAATGCAGTGCGAATGCCGTTCGACTTTCCGAGTCGAATGCCGCCAACGAAGTTGATACCGTAGTGCAAGGTGTTTCAATGTTAGTGTTGCGTTCATTTTGTTTGTCACTTCGTTGTGTGGGTGTTGCTCTTGGCGTGAGAGACAAAGGCCTACGGCTGAGGGCGAGGGCTGAGCTTGCCCGACATCACAGGCCATAGCAGCAGCCCATACCTCAGCCCGAGCCCTCAGCCCTCGCCCTGGCCTCAGCGCTGGTGTCAGCCCGAGCCTCCGCCTAAGGAACTGTGTCCCAGCTTCAGCCCTCGCCCTCAGCCGTAGCGCCAGCCTCCCCATCAGCCCTGGCCCTAGCCCTTACCTCAGCCTTGGCCTCAGCACTGCAGCCCTGGCCCCAGCCTCACGCTGCACCAAGACAGTCCGCATCGCATAGGTCGCGGAGGAGGAAGAAGAGGAAAACGAGGGAGGAGGAACACGAGGGATGAGACAAGGGAGGAGGAGGGAGTCATACGCAGAGGGTTTTGCCGCATGCTTGCGCTGAGCCTCCAGATAAAGAAGGGATGACGAGAGGACAGAACCCAAAGGACTCGGCTCCAACCTATTCAGACAGGCCGCCCGCTCACTCCGACCGACGGCGCCGTGTGGGACAAGGACACAGAGGTACCTAGCTGCCCCGATACGCCAGTTTTGAAACGCAACACGTACATTGTTCAAGACGCCCATGTTAACACGTTGCGTGTTGTTTCCACGTGTTGGCCCCTGTTTTGGCGAACGTCCTGCGCCAGGCGTACGTGTTCAATTTGCGTGTTGAGCTCCGTGTCAACGCTACGGGTTGCGCATTGCGTATCGGGGCGGCTAAGCACAGAGGTAGTATCCCTCTCTTCTCCAGCATCCTTGCACATTCCTCCCGTGCCTCCTCCTCCCTCGCTCCGTCTCCTCCCTCATACTGCCGCTGATGTTGTGAAGACCTTACGGCCGGTGCCGCTGACCCTAAAAAGGGGTAGCCAAAGACGTAGACGAGGACACAGATCGGACAGGGCTAGGACGATGATAAATCCCGTCCAGAACGTTCCAGAACGCTCTCGGAGCGTTCTGGAACGCTCTCCGAGGGCCGCGGCGCCCGAGACATCCTCCAGAGCCGCCGGATCTCAGAGATTCTCGATTATCTTCACCCGATTGAACCCTCGTCTTGGCTTCGTCTTACAACAGAGGTCCTATGCCTCTCTCCTCCCGCACCATCCCTGCACATTCCTCCCGTGCTCCCTCCTCCCTCACTCCGTCTCGACCCTCATGCTGCCGCTGATGTTCTAAGCTGTGCTCAAGAAAGGGAACACGGACCGAGGAAGGATGACGAGGCGGGAAGGAGGCAGAAAGAGGGGGAGGGCGCAGGAGGGGAGGGTAGGAAGCGGGAGTGGAGGTGTGAGAGGGGCAGGGCGGGGGGAAGTATCAGGACGCGCGAGGGTTCGCTTTGGCCCCCCCCCCGCTGTCCAGCCCGCTGTCTGGCCCGCCCTCCCGTCCTGACCATTTTCCGTGTAGAGCGCGCGCGGCGCTGCAAAGACTCAGGGGCAGATTTGCCAGAGCATCCCAGACGCGGGGCCTTTCCTCTGGGGAACAAAAGAGGAGGAGGAGGAGGAGGAGGAGGAGGAGGAGGAGGAGGAGGAGGAGGAGGAGGAGGAGGAGGAGGAGGAGGAGGAGGAGGAGGAGGAGGAGGAGGAGGAGGAGGAGGAGGAGGAGGAGGAGGAGGAGGAGGAGGAGGAGGAGGAGGAGGAGGAGGAGGAGGGTGGTTGTGGTGGTGGTGGTGATCGTGATGATGCTGATGCTGCTGATGATGATGCTGGTGGTGGTGGTGATCATGGTGATGATGACGATGACGATGATGATGACGATGACGACGATGATGATGATGCTGCTGATGATGATGATGATGGTGGTGGTGGTGGTGATGGTGATGATGGTGATGGTGATGGTGGTGGTCATGATGATAATGCTGGTGACGATTCTGATGATGATACTGATGATACTGATTACTACGATGATCATGTTGATGATTATGATGATGGTGATGATATGGGATGGTGATGCTGATGGTGATGTTGATGATGATGCTGATGATGATGATGTTGATGACAATGATGATGATGATGATGATGATGATGATGATGATGATGATGATGATGATGATGATGATGATGATGATGGTGATGAGAATGATGATAATGGTGGTAACGATTATGGTTATGATGATGGTGGTGATGGTGACGATGCTGATTATGATGTGATGAGTTGCTGATGCTGGTGATGACGATGATGGTGATGCTGCTGATGATTACGATGATGATGAAGAATATAATGATGATGATGATGATGATGATGATGATGATGATGATGATGATGATGATGATGATGATGATGATGATGATGATGATGATGATGATGATGATGATGCTGATGATGATGATGATGATGATGATGATGATGATGATGATGATGATGATGATGATCATGATGCTGATGATGATGATGATGAGGAAGAAGAGGAGGATAAGAAGGAGGAGGAGGGGGAGAAGGAGGAGGAGGAGGAGGTGGTGGAGGAGGTGGTAGAGGAGGAGGAGGAGGAGGAGGAGGAGGAGGAGGAAGAGGAGGAGACGCAGGGCGACGAAATCCTAGAGGCGGGTGTTCCAGCGGACTTTTTGCCGCTCGTGCCGATCTCTGCGAGCGTCCGCCTCGAGTATGACCGAGTCCCTTCCCGCGTTGTGACTCCAAGTCCCCGCCCCCTTTGGCTTCGTCCTCCTTGTTTGGGAAGGCTTTCCAGGTCTGGGATGCCTCGCAGCTCATGCTTGAGAAACACTCGCCGACGCCAAAGGAAAAGAGCGCTCGCGGCCTATACCCGAGCGGCCCTCTTCGCCACCTCTGCAGCGGAGCAGGAGGAGAATGAGGCAGCGGAGGAGGACGGGACGAGGAGGAAGGAGGAGGAAGGGCGAGGGAGGGGAAGGACGGAGGAGAGATGATGTGATATACGTTCTGCGACAGTCGCACGTGTAAGACCGAAGACAGGGATATATATATATATATATATGAAGGTTAGTGAAGAAAAGGAGGAGGAGGCGGAGAATGAAGAGGAGAAAGAGGCTCCTTGGTGGCCCTCCTCGCGGGAGTTTAGAGCGGCGTTCAGCATTTGGGGAGGATTCAGAGTCAGTGTGGGCGCGGGGCAACGGGGCTTTTGCGGGCCACTTCTTCAATTCAGTCTGGACGGGGGTTACAGGTGGGGCACGGGTGTCTGGCGACGGGACGCTCTGACGCTTGGCGCCTCCCCAGAAGTCCACCCAGGAACGATCTCCAGGTAAGTTGCTGTTGCCCTGATCATGAAAGTGTAGGAGCACGCCGAGAAACGACGAGGTGCGGCAACCGTCAAGCCGAAGCTCGGAACTAGCCTGAACATACCCAAGAGTGGAATTGCTGATCCCGCGGTGGAAGGATGAGGAGATAGAGAAGCGAGGAGGACGAGGAGGGATATGAGAGGATGAGGAGGGGGAGGGGATGGGCGACGCCGACGACGATAACAACGATCTTACAACGATCGAAATGGGTTAACCATAACGCGGAGGGCGGATAACGATGAGCCGTACTGGGCCAACTTGAAGTTGGGAGTACAGGTCCTGAGGGTTGGAAGGTTGGTGGTTGGAAGGGCACGTGTGCGGCCGCGTGGTTGCAGGGGCACGGCATGAGCCCGTAATAGTATGGAGATTCGTCGCCGGGTCTCGTTTTCTCACGTCGAACGGGGGGCAGCCCCGTGCCCCCCGTCAAGGCTGCTAGCATCATGGTGCGCGCTTTGTTGCGGGATGAGCACGTGCGCCTCCGTACCAGTGTCATGTTCCACGATTCCTCTCGCTTCGCGGGGTGCACGTCCGGAACGCGTAAAAGGATCGGGGCGTTGGCCGGTCTGCCCTGCTCGTCTGCCGTGCTGGTCTACCATGCCGTTGTGCTGTCTTGGAAGCATACATATTGGGGGCGTTTGGGCACCTCTGGGGGCCTTTGGGGGCCCCTCTTGGGGGGTCTCTTGGAGGTCTCTTGGAGGCCTCTTGGGGTCCTTGAGCCTCTTGGGGGTATCTTTTCGTCCTCTGGGGGCCTCGTGGGGCTGTCTTGGGGGGGAGCACCGCCGCAGGCCAGTTCAATATCTCTCTCTCTCTTTCTCTCTCCTTGGGCCCAGAGGAGTCCAGGTGGCATCTACAGGAGGTCGCTGAAATTTGTCTTGCTGGAGCAGTTGTCGACATATCATCATGGACACGCGTGCGCGGCCGACTTCATCATCGGATCATGTGAAGAAGACTGAGGATCTGCTTCCATATTATACACCGGTTTCACGTACAGTGCGTGTGCGGCTTACTCTCCAAGGAGAACAGCTGGTATCTGTTCATTGGGACGTCAAGAGGCTGCCGTTGGATATTCGAGCAGCTTTTTCGCAATTGCATTGTCTTCCCCTCTGTCTTCCTTCGAGAGGAAAGATCGTCCTCTGGCCCGCAGTACCGCAGCGAGCTCAGGGTCCAGAGGGGCATGGCACGCCCGTGGCAGCTTCAGGTCAAGCAGCGCGGGCTGAAGCCGGAGCCGAAAGACTACGACTCACCCGAGCACTCTCTACCTGCGCCCACCCAGCAAGCCGCGCAGGCGGGGCCAGGCTTCACGGTGGCCTGCCGTGGCATCGGCAGCTCCGTGTTTATGTGGGCCGCTGGCTGCTGCCGCCCCCCCCCGGCTGCTCATCGTCGAACTCTTCGACGTCTGAGCGTCCTTTGTTCCTCTCGGCCGTCCCCCCCCCCCCTCCTCTTTGCCCGCCGGCCAATTCGCTAGTTTGTGCCTCTTTCTAGCTTCTCGCTGGAGCGGAGTTCGCCGCCTCGCCGCTAGCGAAAATTATGTGGGCCGGATGCTGGGGAGTCGCGCCGCAAGGTGGAGCGGACTTCGTGGCACAGCGGACCTGCTTTTCGCTTGCCATGCTGAGCAGAAGGCGATCAGAAGTCAGACCTGGGTGGATGAGGCCCACACTCGGGCCAGCAGAAGGGCAGGGAACATGGAGTTGCTGGTTGGTCGCTGGCAAGACGGCCGGCGGCGTGCTGCGGACTGCGCACGCACGTGCGCAGAGGCATTCGGCCAAAGGCAGCTGCAACACCACCTTCAAGATGGAAGTGGGCGCTGGTCCCCGTATCGCGGCGGTGGGGACAGGCATGGCCGCCATGATGTGCAGTAGGACCCTAGCGCAACTTGCGCGCGGCAGGGCAAATGGCCTCCGCAACGCGCGCATCATATTGTTCACCAGTAGAGGTAAGCTTGCAGCACAGATGGGCCCTAATAGCACAGCTGCCCCAAAGGCTGGCGAACCCTTCTTCGACTACATACGGGTGCCAGTACTTCACGGCAACTGACAAGTGGTTTCAGGAGCAAGCCAGGCGCTGGGAGAACGCAGGATACGTATCAGCTCTTGCTGATGGTCAGATGGGTACGCTCTCTGAGGCCAGCGGGTTCGAGCCCGTCTTCGGTGCGAAGTGTAGGGCAGGTAATGATGGCATGGGCCCGGCGCTGGCGAATATAATCGACGACGCCACAGCGGAGTTTGCAGGAATTGTTCAGCATGTTTCTGGGTTCCCCGATGCCGATATGATTGTGAAGAACTTGGCCAAAGCAGCAAACGGATGGGAGTTACGCACCCGTGCCAGAAAGAAGTTCGGGCCATACGATTTCGTTGTTGGGGGTTTTGCCCAGCATCTCCTCACGGATCCATTCCTTCTGAGTGGCGGTCAGGCGTGCCAGAAAATGATGCGGCGTCTCAGGCGCCTTGAGTCGAATCAGCTGGTTCCGATTCAGGTGTCTTTCGATGGCCCTCTCCCAGCCGATTTCACAGTTGCACGTATGATCTTCCAACCTACTTCCTTGATCACCTAGCCAAAACTGGAGGGGGTTCACGTGTCGGGTCCTGGGAGGCGAGACTCGTTCGACACAGTTTCGTTTTTTTCTGGGTGCTCGAAATTTGTTCTGGGATGTGGTCCTTAAGTACGATTGGAGCAACAGTAAGCTACACATGTGTATGGCGATGATTGCTTGAGCTTTGCCGCCAACAGTGCGCGGAAGCCCCACCAATGCGGGAAGATGGGGGCTGCAGGCCCAGAAAATTCGGACTTTGCTTACAGTGGAGACCTATGCCAAGAAACACCCTTGCTTGCCTCCAGGGTGCCCAGGGTTTCTTGGGTTTCGATGGTTTTGCTGTGGAAAGCGCGACGCTCCCACACCAAAAACCTATGGACGTCCTGGGGTCTCGGGGTTGGGTTTCTTGTGGAAGGTTTCTTGTGGTACGGCCACTGCTGTAGTACCGCGTCTTTTGCCGAGCGCGAATTCCAAACAAACCCGAAGGGGTACGGGCGTTTTGCACAGGACGAGTTGTTCGGCGTTCTGTCGCGATTGTTTTGAAGGTCGGATTTGGCAGAGTACAGGCCCATGATCAATGGCATCAACCATTGGAAGGATGGCCTCGGGACAAGCACTCCACTGAACTCGCGAGGATGTCTTTTCCATGTGGCGCTTGGTCTTGGATGGTATGGAGATTTCTGCGTCCATCCTGGAATCCAGGGCGTTGCCTTGTCTGGACGCGCTATGGCCAATCACCTTTGCAAGTTTCTTGAGTATCGGCATCACCTTGACAGCTGTGATGTGCTCCCTTCGGACGAAGATCGGCAGTTTTTTCGAAGCCAAGAGGGGTCAACGCTCTTGGACCTAATTAGGTGCAGTTTCTAGCAAGTTGGGTCTCGAAGAAAAGTGGACTCACACGGGTATTGTGTCTTCTGCGACCGGTGGCTATCAGCGTAAGATGTGTGCCACGACCCCAGGGGCTGTCATGAGAGGCAGGCGTCATAGCAACATAGGTCGTTCTAGCAGCAGAGGCAGGGCAACCAGCAAAGGTGCCAGCACCTGCTGAGGCGCAGGCGGCAGTGCCATTGGTTAGGCGGATCGCTCGTGCTCAGCTGCTGATCCAGTTGCAGGCCTGACTGCGTGCGGATGGACCCAAGATCGACGTGCAGCTAGCGTGGACAGCAAGTTACCGCGCGAGCGTTTGTTCAGGCGAGTTGGGTTTCCTTCATCGCGCCTTCGGCAACCACTACCTGGGTGTATTGTTGTTTCCGTTGTTGTTCATGCGCTCCCTCTGGCTCCGTGTCAGCGCTGCTGCTTTATTCATTATATAATTTCCCGCTGAATGTCGTAGTTGTCTTTTGCTTTCGTATGGCGAGGCTTTCGGTTGATATGTGTGTGTGTTGATGGTGGAACAGATAACCAATCGTGTTCGTGCACTTGCTGCGTTACGCATTGGTTGATCTACCCCTCGCCCTCCTCATACTCATCTTTCTTCTCCATCCCTTTCGCCCTTGAGCCGCTGTGAACACAGCTTCAATATTTCATGCCCAGAATGTTGCGTCGCGCCATGTCTAAAGAACAAATCGTGGGGTTCGCATTGAAGTGACCAGTCGACTTGGGAGTCGGTGGTTGCAGTGATGTTCGCCCAAAGTTTGCGTCAGGCTCCAAGGATATATTGAAGTCTTACCTCCAGCTGCCATCACGCAATCTGAGTGGTGCCCCAGGGGACGAAATAATGGAAAGCAATCCTTCTCGCCCCTTCTTGTCTTATCCTCTCCCTCCCTTCCCATCACCTGTCCCTCTGTCCCTCCCTCTCCTCCGGTCCTCTCGCCTTTCCTTCTTTCCACCACATGTTCCTCCGAATCTTTCTCGCATCATCCCTCCCCTCCCCTCATCCTCCCCCTTTTCCTTCTGCCCCTCTCGGTCAGTTCCTCCCCTCCCTCCCTTCCCTCCCCTCCCCTAATCCTCCCAGGGAGGAG